CAAGAAGTGAGGTTCTTACCCACGAAAGCTTATGCTCCCAATACTTCTGTTAGTCTTAAAGGTGCCACAGGACCCTCTGTTGCTTTTTACAGATTCAGACTAACACGGCTACCCCTCTGATACATAGAGTTTAAGTGTGAACTCAGTACTTTGCCACAGACGGTACTTCGCTTACCTTCATTAGTCCTAGCGCAGGATATGAAATGTTAGGGAATTTCAATTCTAGTGGCTCCTGGGGGAAAAAAAAGCATATTTATATTAGTAACTGTTTCAAATATCAAGGTGTCATCATGAACATGCTTTCCACACCACATGATTAGGGCCCTACCAAATTCATGGTCCATTTCGGTCAATTTCACAGTCATAGGATTTTAAAAATCATAAATGTCATGGTTTCAGCTATTTAGATCTGAAATTTCACAGTGTTGTAACTGTAGGGGTCCTGACCCAAAAAGGAGTTGGGGGGGGGGGTCACAAGGTTATTGGAGTGGGGGTTGTGGTACTGCTACCCTTACTTCTGCGCTGCTGCTGGTGATGGCGCTGCCTTCAGAGCTGAACAACTGGAGAGTGGCAGCTACTGGCCCCAGGAGCCCAGCTCTGAAGGCAGAGCCCTGCCAGCAGCAGCGCAGAAATAAGGATGGCCTGGTGTGGTATTGCCACCCTTACTTTTGCGCTGCTGCCTGCAGAGCTGGACCCTTAGGGCTGGTCCACACTAAGCCCCCAGTTCGAACTAAGATACACAACTTCAGCTACGTGAATAACGAAGTATCTTAGTTCGAACTTAAAGGTACTTACCGCGGGTCCACACGCGGCAGGCAGGCCTCCTCGTCGACTCCGCCTACTCCTCTCGCGGAGCAGGATTACCGGCGTCGACGGTGAGCACTTCCAGGATCGATTTATCGCGTCTAGACAAGACGCAATAAATCGATCCCAGAAGATCGATTGCTTGCCACCGAACCAGCGGGTAAGTATAGACGTACCCTCAGTCAGCAGCCGCCACTCTCCGGCCACCCAGCTCTGAAGGGAGACCAGATTTCACGGTCTGGAATGCATTTTTCATGGCCATGAATTTGGTAGGGCCCTACACATGATGCATTCATCATCTCTTTTCACTTCCAACTCAGCCTATTTCACAATCAACATCATTTTAAAGATCCTTGAGTACACAGTTACTGAATAAACACACAGTGATTGAATAATGATTTGCTTATTGTTCTGTTCGGTTTGCTCCCGACACCCACATTTTTCTGCAATCATGGCTCATAATGATCTGAATCCAGTATATCCCATGTTAGATAAACTGAAAGGAATTTTATAGAGTATTAAAGACAAGGAACAACAAAATAACAAAGGTCTGTGAGGATTAAGCCATGAGGAAATATTAAAATAATTACACACGTATTGATCATATAACAGTAACTAAGGTGGAATAAGATAACCATCTGCAAGTATCAGATGCAAGTCAACACCAACAAGAGGAATTGTTTAGAGGTCTGAGTGAGTCAGATTAGGGGTGAGAGGATAAAAATGATCAAAGGAAAGTTTAAACTGAATATCAGATTAAAAAAAAAAATCAACCAAACAAGACGTGACTGAGGTGAAGTCACCCGCAAAGCATTCTCCCGGTGGATACGGCAAGAGCCCTCTTTGGGTCACTTAACACTGGATTAGACAGACTTTCAAGTACATACCGCAGGGAATGATCCCAAACAAGCAGAGAGAAGGACAAGCAGAGCTGGTAACGGGCTTTTCCATCTCTGGTTTCTGTTGACCAGACCCTACAAAGTAGAGTTCTGCAACCCAACCCAACCCTGATGGGACCCGATTGCCAGGGCCGGCTCCAGGCACCAGCCTGGCAAGCAGGTGCTTGGGGCAGCTGCTTGGGAGAGGGGCGGCACGTCCAGCTATTCGGCGGCAATTCGGCAGACGGTCCCTCACTCCCGCTCGGAGCAAAGGACCTCCCGCCGAATTGCTGCTGTAGATCGCGAACGTGGCTTTTTTTTTTTGGCTGCTTGGGGCGGCCAAAACCCTGGAGCCGGGCCTGCCAACTGCCAGCACCAGGTTGGGTTCGGGTTGTGTCAGAAAACAACCTGACCCTCTCGGGCTTGGGCCAGGTCGGCTTCCCTCCTCCTACCTGTGGGGTCGGCCCAGCAGTGGCTGCGTACCCTGCTCCCGCCGGCCGCCGCCACCTCACCATGCAGTGCGCCCGGCAGGGTGAGCGTGCCAAGGAGTCCGGGCACCTATTGCTTGGCAGTGCGCCCACAGTGCAGCAGAGGGCAGCAGCTGGCAGGAGTGGGGCAAGCGGCTGGGGGTGCCGCCAACCCCATGGGCAGGAGGTGGCAGCAACACTGACTCAAGTGTGGGGGAAGAGCCAGAGCTGGGTCAGAAAATGACTTGGCCCTCTGGGGTCCACGTAGGGTGGGCTTGGGTCCGGTCGGGCTTAAAAATGAAGCCCACGCAAACCTCTCCTACAAAGACTCATGCTCAGGAGTTGAATGGCACTACTCACATGCTTAAAGTGAAACATATGCCACAGTTTTTGCAGGATCGGGGCCTACGATGTGTCTGTGTTTGGCGTTTGCTGTGTCCAACAGCAACGACCGCCTCGGTGTAGCGCTTTTCATGCGGAATACCGACTGGCCAGGATGAATGGCTTTTAGCTGTGCCGCAGGCCATCGGTCATTAATCCCTCGGAAATGCCCTGAATCTCAATCAGTTATCGCTTAATTGTAGCCCTACACGCAGCTCTGTGAACAACAGCCTAACTCTACACCCCAGGAGAGTCAAAGCAAGAACACTTCTCTATCCAGAACACAACCATCTCATTTGCATAGCATACAAATTGCTGATTAGCGTTGGACTCAAGTAAGTTTGTAGGGCACTCTTACCTTGTTCTCTGGATCTGGAATTCGCACCCCACTGAAGAACTGATTAGTGCTGAAAACTTGCTGATGCCTGGGAATAAGGTCCCCTTTAATCAAAAATAAAAAGCCAAGTCAGGTGAATTAGATGTTTTACTAGCCCACGTCTTACAAGCTTATCGTGTAGCAAGGCTGAAACTACACTAGAGAAGATTTTTAAATAGATATCCTGGCATCAAGAGAACTAATACAATATTCACTTACAAAAACTAATCATCTTGACTTCACTGATTAAAAGTCCTGATCAATTTTAAAACTATCACCGTGTTGCAATAAATTGGCTAGTTCATGCTACTCTACTAGATGGAATCATAACTGCTCAACTGTGTGTCCTTGGCCCTATACTGCTAATAGCTAATGGAGATTCTCTTGTAGAAGAAGTGATAGGAGCCTGTGCTTTTGGAGCAGGAGATCCAACTTCAATCTCCACTGCTACCACCAGGGTCTGAATTTCCATGCTTTGTGCATAGCGACAATCATGCAATGGTTGCCTTGGATATTTATTTCTCAATATTAACGCCTGGTTAGTTTTTTTCCTTCACTGTTTGGCAATTTACATCATGCTGGCAAATTGTGAGTCCCACTACAGCCTAAAAGACACCTCACTACAGCAGCAAGGAGCATACCGTGTAAGGGCAAAGGCATGCCCACTTTTTACCAAAATAAAACTGCTCCATGTCAGAACCAATACTGGTATCACTGGCCTGGTAGTATTCTAAAGGACAATTCTTTGGTTGGTTGAATATAAACAGATGCGTGTCTAAGTATGAGAGCTAGAGGGTGCTGCATGAACATGTGAGATCAGGCTGCAGGACTCGAAAGCCAAGCCGTGCTATCCTGATGTGAGTATGGTGTACGGGGCACTCTAACACAAGGGAACACTGGAGATGCTGCATATACATTTATTAAGAAAACAAATCAACAAGTAACTCCCCTGCTCAAGTCTCAGAAGATGGAACAGTCCACTGCAGTAATGAATGACTGGCAAGGGCTACTGTTTGTTTTGGGCTTTACTGCATCCTGGGCGTAGGACATGCTTTGTTCACAACGGGGGCTACAAAGGTTATGCCAGCCCAGTGCTCAGATTAATGCGGTGTTTCAACACTTTCAAAGACAGGGGCTTTGCTCATGCTGTTCATGACAATGGGCCCTTCCTCTATGAACACGGGAAGGGGGACAGGGTAGGGAAGACGGTCACTCTCTTATTAAAATTTGATTTTATATTTGTAACCTTCCTTTTGGATAGCCCTGAGCAGACAATCATTGGGCAAGAATGGGCTGAAATGCAGTAACAGGCATATGTTAACGCCGCGCTCTCCCCAGGAGGGTTTCATAAGCCGTGTCTGCAGCCCTTGTGCTTGTGAAAGAACAGCTGGGATTGAGCTTAGATGTTCAAATCAAACCACTAACCCAGGGTTAAGGTAGTAATGAAACCACATAGCTTTGATCAAGTCGCTCTCCACTGCAAATCATTCCTTAACCTGTCTTGGTTCCACAGCCTGGATCAAAAGGAAATCGTTCTGAGCCGAAAGCCCATTTTTACAATACATTGTAACTTTCCTAAAGCTTCAGGGGGAGCGTTCCAGAGACTGTAGCAATCAAACCATGACTACAAATTGGTTTTACCTATATTGGATAACGTATATTTTATCTATAAAAAGGACGAATGGGCTTTTACATGATTTTCTAAGTTACTCAGTAAGAAAATATGAATCTTGATCTATCCAAGAATCACATATGAAAAAGCAGATTTATATATTACACACCAATGGGAAACAAAAGGAGTAAGAGCTGGTTAATTCCCACCTAATACTTTTAGGTGTCCCCAATGACACACAGGAATACTGATCTATTAAGAGCCCCAATTTTAAATCCAAACCAGACTAATGATTCCTTTGTCGCTAAGCAGTCGACAGCTAGGAGAATCTGAACCATTCACTGTTTGCAGTGTCCTCCTCTGGATATTCTCACCTTTTTACAAAATACATTTTACTGAGACTTTTTCCTAACTATAATTAGCCAAGTCCAATTGGTCCTTATACAGAGGCCCGGAGCTTGCCACGGCTGCTGGGAAATACTGTGGCTGTTTCAAATCTTCATGCAGTCCAGATGGGATGATGAAAACAGGGGAGAGATTCACATTTTCCAGAAAGTTTGTGGTACAAAAGGAATACGTTTTTTTTTAAATAAATTTTAAAAGGCTTCTATAAAAAAAGGATAAAAACAAAGAATTGGAAGGACGGCAAAGGTTACAGCTACTGCAGACGCAGCTCAAAGGGAGAACAGGGGGGTCCAGGGAACAGACCCCAAACTAACTATGGCTCATATCAAACTGCAGCAACACCCATCAAAGGAAATCCTCCCCAGGGACTCTCAATCAGGGCCACGGTGCTCAGATACCATGGTGACGGGCACGCGTACAAATCTACCTGGACTAGAACAAAGGGAGTCTCGTCCAGCGCCCCTGGAAAGACAAGACACAGTGGCATGAGGCCTGTTCTAAACCTGGGGGAATGGCAGTGGGAGGGCTCCTTGGAAGTCCAAGAGACTAGAGAGGAGAGAGGGAGATAAGGCCTTAAGCAAATAATTCACAACAAATAATCTGCCTCATTTCACCTTTTTATTCCTGTTCGGGAACAAATGGCGAAATTCTCAGCTCGACTCGTTCCAAGTCAGACCCAAGTTTCGCCTGGAAATACGGTTCTGCCGATGGCTAGTGAAGCGCTGCAGCACTCGTCATTTGCATAAATCACACGCTACTGTTCCTGTCCCCAGAACCGGACCACGGAGCTAACTGAACGTCGCACTCTAAGGGGCAGATCCTACAGCAGGCTCCATGCAGGTGAACCCCTGTGCCCATGTGAGGCCAGCTGCTCCTTTGGGGGTCTAATAGACTCACGTGTGCTGTCAGCATACAGCTGAGCTTAAAATTCACTTTCGGTGAGTATTTGCTCTGGGAAAGTTTGAGCTCTTGAGAATGACTGGAGGGTAAATATGAAAGACTCACAAATGCAACTGAATCAGAATTGGCTTTCTTCCTGTTATTCCACTCTTCACTTAACTCATTAAAAACCACCACCACCTCCGTATCCCCAGTGCATGGACGTGTCCTAGAATGACTTAGCAATTGGGTGACCAACTTAAATCCTGGAGAAAAACTACAGGAGCCCCTGAGCAGCACCTGGTACCTCGAGTGTATGTTCTTGCAAACACACGCATGGGGACGGGGCCCGTTCCCAAGAAATGCTGGGTAAACCTAACTGCCACCAAAGTCAACAGGAATACAAGGGATCAATCTAATAACAATCTTCTTCTGAGGGTCACCCGTGCTCCCATTCACTCCAGTGGGAGTTGTGGGGATCAGGCCCATTGTGACCAAGGCAGAGCTGGACAGCTGAAAAGTTAAATTTAACAGGGGGAGGGATAGCTCAGTGGTTTGAGCATTGGCCTGCTAAACCCAGGGTTGTGAGTTCAATCCTTGAGGGGGACACTTAGGGATCTGGGGCAAAATCAGTACTTGGTCCTGCTAGTGAAGGCAGGGGGCTGGACTTGATGATCTATCAAGGTCCCTTCCAGTTCTAGGAGATAGGATATCTTTATTTATTTACATTCTCTTTATTTGCATATGCATTCCTGCTGTTCAGTTGGGACTCTAAAGTGCAATTTACTGCCAAGCTCGGGACTTCTAAGTGTGTTTGCACAGTGATTATTGTGCTGTACTCTGATTACGTTGCCTGCTGTGACTCAAAACAAACCAGTAACCATTGCATTCATGTGAAATAAAGCAGCACAACTGGAGGAGGAGTTTGATTTGGGCTCTGAACTGATAATCGGAGGCTTTCCTAATATACAAGTGTCAGTTGGATTCTGATCTGCATAATAATCAGGTTTGTCCAGAACTTGCACTGTTTCCATTATTGGTTAAACAGGATGATTAGAGAGGAACATGGCTGAAACCTCATTGCACGAGGACAACTTACCCAAGGTTCTCCTGATTAGGTACAGCTGGTCCACATCTGATTTTCCAGGCCACAAGGGGACACCTGACAACAACTCTGCAAAGACGCAGCCTATTGCCCAGACATCCACAGGAGGGCCATATTGAGTATCTCCTACAAGTAACTCAGGAGAACGGTACCATCTGGTAGCCACATAGTCTGTGTAATAATCACTAGGGCCAGCTAGATTGTGGTCAGGAAGGATAGAAAGAATAGAAATCTGGGATCAGAATTATTGAAGGAAGGGTAACAAGCATGTTGCTTATCATCTCTCTCAGACATTGCTACAGTAATGGTCCTGAAAGTCATCCAACATGGGTTACTGCACTTATTCAGAACCCAACTTTGCCACGCTCATGAGCTCGTGCAATCAAAACAATATTGTTCTGAAATCAGGCTACGCACCACTCCTCCGAGAGGGCGCTGCCAGTTCTCAGCTCTCAAACCCCAGGTCACTTGTCTGGAGAACAGGGCTGCCCGGAGGATTCGGGGGGCCTGGGGCAAAGCGGGGGAGCGGACATAAAAAAGGCGCCACCCGCTGCAGCGCTTGTACTCACCGGGCGGCCCGCCGAGTCGTCGTCGTCGGGTCCTTCACTTGCTCCGCGTCTTCGGCAGCACTGAAGGACCCGCCGCCGAAGTGCCGAAGACCCGGACTGCCACCGGGTGAGTAGCCAGGGAAGGGATTCTCGGCCAGGGTTCATGGGGCCCCTGCGGGGCCCAGGGCAAATTGCCCCACTTCCCCCCCCCCCCCCCCCCGGGCCAGCCCTGCTGGAGAAACGGGCAAACCAAAGGGTCACAAGATTTTTTAAATTATTATTATTATTATGGGACAAGCGAAGCCACCGTTCCCAAGGCGAGACCCTTTTGCAAACCAGGCCCTTCCTGCGATAACAAGACTCAGCCTTAAGTGGAGGTTCTCTGTGGAAACAACCAACACCGCGAGAGGGTTTTCATGTGTGTGGGGGTATCCCAAAGACAAAGTGCGCCTGTCACAAGGCGGCACTGGTTCGTCAAGAGGAAAAGGCTAGTGCCCTTGTGACTCATCAGCTGACCCAAATGGGCTCCAAAGAGGACGCCTGGCCCTAGGCAAGAGGTCCCGGAAGGAAGTCAGGAGGGGCAGGTGAGCGCTGCCTGAGGAGGACAGGAGACCCAGGGAGAAACTGTACCGGCTCTTCACTGCTGCTCCTGAGAGCCATTGGGAAGAGCCAAAAGTTGATGGTGGGGCCTGGCCAGAGCTGGGGATCCCCTGCCGTGTTACAGGACAGTTCGTGCAAAGGCCTGTGGGAAGAAAGGGAAGAACCAGCCTGACTAGGAGAAGCTGAGCCGAAAACAAGAGGGCCGATGCTGGAGGGTGGATACCGGAAGCCAGGGCAGAGAGGCCGGGGTGAGTGTAGCCTTGTTTTCTGGGGGAGGCTTGAGAGGAATTGCTTTTACTATGAGGGATCTGTGGACTGTGGAACTTTATATAAATAAAACGGCTTGAATTTGCTGCATGAGAATACTTCTTTGCATGGGTTGTATAGAGGGGAAACCGAGGCAGGGAAACTGAGGCAAGTGCGCTTGTTGTGCCACAGCCTGCCACAGGAGGGCATTCCAGGCAGGACTGCCCTCAGACAGAGTCCTTAACAGCATGGAAATAGCAGGTCAAACACTTTGTGTTTTAAACACACACATTACATGGAAGAAGTTACCAGCACTTACTTAGTATGCGAGCAAATCCAAAGTCACAAAGTTTAATGACCACATGCTTCGTTATTAGGATGTTTTCTGGCTTCACATCCCGATGTATGCACTGGAAACACAAACACGTGAATCAGGAGCAAGTATCGAACTCTGGACCAGGTTAATTCTGCCACATTCCCGTTGCTGAGCGGCCTGACCCGACCTGGATCGTTAACAGAAGACGAAAAGACTCTAACTGTTAAAGTAGCATCCTGCTGGGTCCTACAATACCCTGGTCTTTCACGTCACACTCGGGAGAAGATACTACGCACGTCCACAATTTCCATAGTCCTGCGTCGCTCCGACAACCCCCATTCGACTCAAGTGGCCCAGTGTGAAATAACGGAGCGGCGTGATGGACAGTCACAGAGCTCTTTACATGTGCAAGGTTTACTGTGCCGACTAGCACCAAATACAATCCGTCAATTTAATGGTGGAGGGATGAGAGAAAGAGACAAAACAACAAATTCTGCAAGCCAGCGAGGCAGGCTGCCAGGTTCCTGTGGTCGGTCTTACGTGGCTCTACTAGTGGAAACAAAATGTTTGTTCCAAAGAGGTCTCCCTCCCACCTCTTAAATCAGCCCTCGGCAGATAAATAAAAATGAAGAAGATACCAGCTAAGCTCGCAGTAACCTCTGATAAGCAACTCTCCCGCTCTACCTCCTCATACGCAGCCTGGTTAAAGCGTGCTTAGGTTTCCTGTACAATTTTTATTTAGCCTAACACAACGATCCACCTCCTGAAAGCAGAGGTTAGCTGGTCCCTTAGCACAGATCTTAGCACATGTCGCTTTTGAAACTTTTCACTAGGGGCCTGATCCAGCACCCACTAGAGTCAATAAAAAGACTTTCATTGAATCCAATAGGTGCTGAATCAGGCCTTGAATTACTAGATATCAGGTCTGTTCCCTGCACATGGCTGCGATTGGTGACAGTTCTCCCAGAAGGACACACTGCTACCGGCGATTGTTTAGGCGGGAAGCTCACCTGAAGCTGTTAGCATAAAATCACTCTGACCACGAACCTCAGGAATCTAAATAATGAATAAAATATTCAGGAGCTTGTAGCAACACTAAAAGTGGGTGTTTTCTATAAAAAGATGACAAAAATCTTGTTGACTCCCCAGCACAGAGTATACCAGACCTGGGAGATTGTAACAGAATCTGTACCCACTTCAAAGCAACACTCTGATATACGGCGCTAGTGTTTATGGGACTTACATTGTGTTTATGGCAAAAGTTTACAGCTTGGAGGGTCTGCCAAGTTATGCTCTTCACGAGATGCTCTGGGACCCTGTTTTAAAAAAGCACAAGGAGTACATTTATTTTTAAATGAAATTAGGAGAAAGGAGTTCAACTTAAATGCCAGCAAAATTTAATGCCATCTACAGCCAAAGCAATCAGGAAGAACAGATCCCCCAATGCAACACTTTGGGACCATTTACACAGACTTCACTTAGTAGAGACAAGTTACAAGAAACACAGATTTAATCCTCAGCCTACCCACTCTATAATTACAGGAACCCGGAGAAAAGTCCACCCATGTTACTGACAACGGAGGCTTTTTCTATCTGTTGCCTGTCTACTCTCCCCACATTTTTATGCTGCAGCCAGAAACGCTATATGGAGTTCTACAGAGACCCTTTCTGGCATGTAAACCTCTTTTCTAAGGTGATGTTTCAAATACAGGTGTTAAGTCTGTAGCACCTTCAAGGTCTGTCCTGAAGGGCACTATGTACTTTCCAGCGCTATTCCAAACGCCGAACAGATTCGGACGAGCGCTGAGGGGCCTTGCGATTTCAGTTTACAATGACAAGACACAAAGATTTACACCAGCTAAGGTTTTTGGGGCCATTCACATCTAGCCGACATTGCGTCTGCCCCCTGGCAACCAAACACTGATGCGGGCTGGCTACTGGCGCCTCCTGTCCCGTGGCTAGTCTCATCATTCACATGTCCTGCACCATTAACTCTTCTGACATCCTACGAACAATGCCAACGGCCGGTCTACACCGGCTCTCCCCTGCCGGTGCCGGAGCCAGCGAGACAAATCACAGCACTGAGGCCACCACTGACCTGTGATCCCGTCAGATCGCTAGGTCACCAACGCCAAGAGAGTGAAAGTTGAGCAAATGAGAGAGGAAGGATTTGCTCTGTTCCCTCCCATCTGTTTAACGTCGATGGCTAACCGACATTTTAGAGAGGGGACATCTTTAAAGATTCAGCACCCGCCTCCCCACGGTTATGGGGTGCGACAGTCCGTAATACGCATCCTCAGACATTCACGAGGTCAGCCAGCCACACCAGGGAGGGCAGAGCTGACAGTCCTGAGGTTTCAAAGGCCCAACACAAACGTTTTATGCCTTTCAAGCCTTTTTCATCCATCTTAAAGAAGCCAAAAGAAGAGGGAGAGCCTTTGCATATCACCTTTCTGGCTCTCCTGCCAATGCTGCTGTATCAGGGCTAGAGGCGTGCTCAGGAAACGGTCTCAGAATGACATTACCTGGAGTGCTGCCCTCCGACCTCAGTACGAGCTGACATCAGGTTAACATTTGGCAGAGTTCGAATTAACAAAACAGGGTCTGAACAGGTAATGCCAGGCAGCTTTAATGAGAGGCAGTGCCACCAGCCCTGCCTGCAACTGCAACGGGACATTCAAATGTGAGATGTTGTTTTTTAATTCTTGTTTCCTTCTGCATAAACCCTTCGCTATTACAAATAACTGTTCCCTTTATACTCCTGCTCTAGGTCAACTGAAGCTTTTGCTCAGATTCCTGGAAACGTCCATAAAAAGTATTTTCAAGTGAACAAACACTAAGGAACTCAGCAGTGACAAATCATCTCATTATTTTCAGTGCTGGCTATTTTGAAAAGCGTTACATTGTTCTGGATGATTCATGGCCTTAGAGAGTTTAAGGGCAGAAGGGACCATTAAATCATCTAGTCTCACCTCCTGGATACCACACAGCCCTTAAATGTCACCCTGTTACCTCGTGTATTGAGCCCACTCACTTGTGTTTGGCTAATGCAGGTCATCCAGAAAGGCATCAAGTCTTGACTTCAAGACACCAAGAGATGGAGAATCCACCACCTCCCTTGGTAGCTTGTTCCAGGGGTTAATCGCCCTCATGGTTAAAAAGTTGTGCCTGGATTTAATGTCCCACCACTGGTTCCTGTTCTGCCATGCTCCGCCAGAATAAAGACCCCTTTAGTATGCGGTATTTTCTCCCTGTGAAGGTACGGCTACACTCTAATCAAGTCACCTCTCAATCTCCTTTTGGTAAACTAGACAGACTGGACTCTCAGTCCGTCACTGCGAGGCATTTTCTCCCGCTTTCAAATAAATAGCGTCTGTGGCTCTTCCCGGCGCCCTCTCCAATTTTTCAATATCCTTTCAAAACCGAGGACACTGTGTCCTAGTGGCGGTCTCACGGATGCCACATGCAGAGGTAACGTCGCCGCCCCTGCCCCTACTCCCGTTTGTACACCCCGGGATCACATTAGCCCTTCTTGCCACATCACCACGCGGGGAGCTTACCAGGAGCTGCCCCTCTGCTACGACCCAGAAATCCTTTCCAGAGTCACTGCTTCCCACGACAGCCCCCCATGCTGTAGGCAGGGCCCGCATTCTTTGTTCCTGTATGTATGACCCGGCATCTGTCCCAGCTTACCAAGCATCCAGACCACTCTGTGCAACTGCTCTCTCATTGCGTATTCCGCCAGCCTTTGTGTCACCCACACATTTCATCAGCAATGACTTTGTATTTACTCACAGATCATTGATGAAAATGTTGAACATTGTCAGGCCTAGAACCAAACCTTGTGGAACCCCACTAGGGACACCCCGTTTGATGGTAATTCACTATTGACAACTACTTTTTGAGATACATCTTAATCGATTCTTCTTAGCGGATGCGCAGCGGGTCTCAGGCAGCACGTGACCAGCATTCATCACTGAATTGGGTCCGCTGGTTGGATCGTTAGCTTTCCCGGCCCGACCCGGGTACTGACGGGCAGTGTGACGCGAAGGCTGATCCATGCCCCCTAATTTATTTAAAATATTAGCACTATCCAATATCAAGGCACATGTTAATCCATTTAACCTATGCTTTATTGATATTGGATAGTGCTAATTTTTTAATCAGAAAGGTGCGTGGTCCTAAGGGAAGTCTATTACATGTATGTATTTACTTTTACCTATCAAACCTGTAATCTCCTCAAAGAAGGAAATCAGGTTCGGCAAGACCGATTTTCAATAAAACCATGTTGACTGGCATTAATTATATTCCTATCCTTGAATTCTTTACTAATGAGGATATATGTATTAGTGTTTATTTGTATTGCGGCGTGAGTCCCAATCAGAAAGCAGGGCTCCACTGTGAAAGGCCCTAAACGCACAGAGAACAGCTTCGCTTAGCTGCAGTCAGGATCCAGGCTCCATTGTGCTCAGTGCGGTCCGAACACATACCTACGTTCTGTACAAACCCAGCTCCCGTTCTCAGGACAACTGTCCGTTCAGAGTAACGGAGACCAAGATTATTCTAATTAGAGCATCAGTTCTATTCAGCCTACAGTAAACTTATTAGTTCAAACTGGAGTTGTTTGGAATGAAGAGACAGTGAACGTCAGGGGTCTGCCCTGACGGGGGCGACGCATCCCACTTCCTGACTCCACGTTCCCAGACTCTAGCCAGCGTGCTAGGGAAGCTGCTGCCTCGCTTACAAAGCTTATCTCCCATCAGCACGTCCAATTTTTCTGCTGAAGCTACTCACCCATGAGAGCAACGGCTCTTGTTCCACCAACCCCTCAACCAATTAGCTTCCCACCGACCATTCAGCTAACGTGAGGCCTGCAAAACGATTTATAAACTTACACTGAGCATTTCCACAGCACCAAGTCACCAGGAGTAACTCACGGTCCTACATTTCGGCAGAGCATCGTTTATATCATGTCACAAACCAGACAGACACCAGAACGGAGAATGTTTTCTTTCCTCTGTACACACCGCTCCTGTTTTGCACAGATGGCTGCTTGAAGGGAAGTGCTGAGAGCTCTCGGGGGCATGAACATAAAACACAGTGGCGCATGCATGGTACATGCCAGGGTAACGCTCTGCCAAAGCCGTGCCTGATTCTGTTTGTCCGGAGAGCGAGCCAGACCGCAGGAAGCCATGAGTTCTGCCTGACCGACCATGCCCGTCACATTATTAATGACCGCGCATGGGTTGGGTAACTGGCCGCACAGGCTACAGCTTGAGCCGAGTCAACGTGCCCTGCTCAGTACAACTGGGGAGTCGGGCGAAGAGACAATAGCAAAACCGCTGCAAGTGCTCACAATCCAGGCTAAGCAATCAACAAGAGCCCAGCAGGGACAGGCTAGAGGGAGACTTTATGGGACCCAGCGAAAGTAAAGTTGAGCACAATCACTTGGGCCAGAGATTATTTTAATCTCTAAACAGGAAATGGAAGCTGGGTTTAGCACAGGAGCTAGAGTGAATGTAACCCCGGACAGCCAAGCCCCCTAGACTCTCTAGTCAACCACAAACAGGCAGCCGTGCAGGCTTCCCTCCCCCTGAGCTCAAACCCAGACCCGGAGCGTCCACCTTGGTGAGGGACGGGAGAGAGAATTTCAGGCCGATGCTCACTCAGCATCAGACCGGCTGGCAATCCAGGCCAGAGTGGGCTAGTATTTCTTCTCATCTAAACAGTGTGGGTGTAGGCCAAACTCATCTCCCCATAGGGGGACACACACAAAATAATACCGGTGGGCTTTGCAGGGTGGCTGATGGACACCTGTCTGGTAGGACACCAGCAGCCACTGCACGTCTCGAGCCACCACAGGTTAATTTCATGGCTCCTCACAAGCCATCATGGAGGTGGCCGTGGAATGCGACTACGGCCGCGGGCTCTCGGGCTGCCCGCTGCTCTCTGGGCCTGGGGGCTGTTTGCAGCGTTAGGATTTCAGAGGTCTCTCAAGCTCTTCTCTCCGCTCCAGTTTGCTCCTGTCAAGCAGGCGAGCGATCACTCTGCATGCTCAGGCAGAGCGACATGATCTCCTTGGTGAGCAGCTCTGGGTAGCAGCACTCCCAGGCAATGCTTGGGCAATTCTTTCAGACAGCATCGCTAAACCACAGTAACCGAGAGGGTCAAGTGCATTGTGCCGGGCAGCCTTCATGTCGGTTATTAATGAGACCCTCCCGAGAGCGCTCTGGGGCCGTAAGCGACTCCCACGAACTCTCCCCCGCTCTTCCCCAAACCCCCTCCGCAGCCCGGGAGCCGGCTACTCACCCCCGCGGGTACTTGTCCAGCTCATGGAGAACCGTGTGGTCACAGTATTCAAAGACCAAGTGGAGCTTCCGTTTCCTCCTGAAGACTTCCAGCAGGTTGACCAGGTTGGGGTGCTTCAGTTGCTGTGAACACACAATGGAGCGGTCTACTTAGTAACGCAGCCCCGGACGGCTCACTGCCCCGTCCTGCAGCTTGGAGCTGAAAAGTGGGGCGGGGAGGGGAGGGGGCAGAACACTTCTTACACAAAACACCTTGAATCAGCCAGCTTGCACAATAGGGGGACCAACCTGCCACAACCAGGGCCGGAAGAGGCTAGTGGTTAGTTATTTTCGGAGACAGCTGGGGCCACAGATAAACTTGGCTCAAACAGCCACCGACTAGAGAAGATGCTGGCAGGCAAAAAATAATTTCTATCCATCACAGGTATTTCTGTATCATCCATCACATAGTAGCTAGCCTCTGACTGTACCAGTGGAAGAAGAGAGTCTCCTTAGACAATGGCTTGGAAATACACACCATAAGACCTTATAGCTGCTGCAAAAAACTTTTATATAAATGTTAGAAGCCTTTTTGGGACTAAGACATTGAGACTCTCCCCCAATGACACAGTGAAACCTCCCGCGCCTTGCTTTGCTAATTCACGGTCTCAACTTTTGAGGGGTTCATTCGGAAGTGATTTTTTGTTTTTGTTTTGTTTGGTATCAGGGGCTTCCTTACCAAAGAACTTCAGACCAAGATTCTTAATGTGCGTATGAAGATCTGGCACATCTGGATCTTTTAGGTTGTCTGTTGCAATATGAAATGGCTATTCCACTTCCTGGTATTGTTAACGTTTGTTTTTTATTTTGTTTTTGTTTTTTAAAACAAGGTGCATGGACAAGTAACTGGTAAAGGAATAGAAAACAGAGCTGGCCCCCGGTCCACCAGAGCACTTAGGCACATGGGCAATTTTAATCAGATGAGTAGTCCCATTGACTTCAAGGGAATTACTCACACGCTTACAAAGACAGACATCCTAAAATTTGTGCTGGATTGAGTTTTAGAATAAACAATGAATTTTCAACACAGGAAACTGACAAGGCATCTCCAAGGTTCTGTACTAGGCCATCTTCTAAGATGTGAACGAACGATTTGGAAAAGGGAATGAACAGCAAAATAGCAGAGAAAAATGATTTAAATTAGCCAACATTGGAGAAGACTGTAAGGAGGGTCTAGGCTGACCAGACAAATCAATTGCGGATTAAGTAGAGAAGTGCAAGATAAATAAGTGTGAATAGTTCTTTCCAGCGTGATGGATTCGATATAACCATGCCGGTTAAAAGCCGCACTGCAGACAGCTCATAAAAACATCTGCTCAGAGCACAACAGCAGCTAGAAGAGATGCTAGATTATGTTAAGAAAGGATACAGAACGATACTGAAGTTATAACACCATTAGATATGTCAAGGACTTGCCCTCCCCTTGAATACTACGGTGAGTTTGCTCATCTCCTCTCACAAAGGATGTAGAAAAGGGCCCCAGCCAAAGGGCAGGAAAAGCGAGGAAAGGCATGAAAAGACGTGTGTGTGAGGAGAGGTTGGGAAGATTGGGGCTGTTTAGGTTATAGGCGGGGGCGGAGGGAGACAAGGTAGAAGTATCGGAGATAATGAGCGATGTAGCAAAGCTCCCATTCACCTACACCAGGGGTTCTCAAATTTCATTGCACTGCGACCTTCTTCTGACAACCAAAATTACAACACAAGCCCAGGACGGGGGACCGAAGCCTGAGCCCGCCCGAGCACTGCTGCCCCGGGTCGGAGGGTCAAAGCCAAAGCCTGAGCCGAACCACCCCTGGTGGGGAAGGGGGCCAAAGTCAAAGCCCAGGCAGAGGGCCTGGGACCTGAGCCCCGCCGCTCAGGGCTGAAGCCCTCGGGCTTCGGCTTCAGCCCCGGGCGGTGGGGCTTGGGCTTTGGCCCTGGGCCCCAGTAAGTCTAGCATCAGCCCTGGCCACCCACTTTGGGGTCCCAACCCACAGTTTGAGAACCTCTGACCTACATCATAATACACGAGCCAAGGGCCACCCAAATGAATCACAGAGGTGACGGATGAAACTCAGGAGCTGGGATGAGAGCTTCCAGTTATAACCATCCCCACGCGAATGAATACACGTCCTTTATCAAAACAGAGGCACACACCCACCGCACCCCATATTTAATTATATTTCTGTCCCGGGGGCAGAAGATGGAAATCTGGCTGGCTGAAATCAAGCAAACTGAAAACACCCCCCGCCCGGCAGGCTGTGAGTTCTTCAGGAGAAGAGCAGAGGTGAGCTCCAGCCTGTTCGAATCATTGCGGTCTGTGGGCTCCACAGGCAAGACACAGCGCAGCAGAGGGCAGCGGTGGGTACCATTCATCTTTCGGGCCTTGAAAGAGCTTCGCTTACAACGCCCTACAGACAGCTACCCTGCAAGAACCACACACTGGGTCCCTGCCCTGCACGATGCAGATGGCAGCACCTGACGCCGAAACACAATTGGTTCTGCCGATCCGAGCGCGGGGTTGCGGGGCGCTTATTAATGGACACACAGCTGATTCTGGTTATGCAAAACTACTGCACTCTGAATGGCTGTGGAGAGCCAATTTGCCTAATGATTACCCTGTGAAGTTGCAAGTCGCTCTCACTGGTCCCTCTGCTGTGACCGGGGCACCTGTAACCCGGGCTCTGGCCACCCTCAGATTATTAGTCCCTCCAGCTGAAGTACCACCACCAAAATGTACAGGAAAGAGAAAGGGAGGGAGGGGAGAAGTATCACAGTGCAGCTGTCAAACCATAGGAGGAACACATGTATATCCCAAGGTAAATCCATCCATTCTCCCTCCCCGCACCTCACACCTTCCCCACTCCACCAGCATCCCTATTCTTGTCTCTAAAATAACTTCCATACGGGCCATGATGCCGCTGGGTGGGTTGTCAGCAGTGGGCACTGAACTCATAACCCCCGGATCTAAGAGCACGAACCTTTATTGCTGGAGCTGAAAGGCCCAGCTCTGTGAGCGGGAGGAGGTTTCTGGAGCTGCTGCCCAGCCACCAGAGGGAGCCAGAGAGCCCTGAATGGAGCCCAGATGGCAAGAACTGCAGACCCTCGGCCCAGCTTGGTTCTGAAACAAAACCAGATCGCAGCCCTTCCAACAGCAAGATTCTTGCTGACCAGTAGGTGGGAAGGGGAATACAGTGGGGGACGGGAATGAAAGGGGCAGGCAGGGTGACTGGAGGCAGCACAGAATGGCCAAACGTTGAACAATATGTATTCACTTTTCAGGAATTTTGCTTCCCAGTCATGTGAACATTAGCCCAGGCTAATATTTCAGGGGTACATTACTACCAACAGGAAACACCCTCAAAATAGCTGGGAGGTTTAAATTCAATAACCCAGCCTCTGGATGCTAGGGTTACACAGACAGATAACAACCCGCGCAATTGCTGGAATAAGTCCAGGTCTTGCCCAGCGATTAGAAGTTTTCCCATAAGACTAACTGGTCAGTATTTCTCCCAATCGTAGGGTCAGATCATTGAAATGCAGCAGGCTTTAAAAATCCAAGCAGCTTGCATGCGTCAGACTGGCCTGTGCCCACACATCCCGTGTCGCAGTAAAGCACAGACTCAAGACGAGACTCTCCTGGAGATTTTTTTTTTAATAAGTGACAATTGTGGCAACGCAACACACACAGGAGAGAACAAACAGGCCGTGGTCACCACTGTTTAGAAAGCGAGACTGAAACTCAAACCCATTTAAAGTTTCAAAGGTGCTTATCTGTACATTGTCCTTAATGCGGAACAGTCGCCGTGTGTGTTTGAACTGGAGTTTGAAATAAAAGTTGGGATATTTTTAATATCGTGTATCCAGATTTACTTTCCCCATTGAAAGCACCACAAGAACAATGCTCTGAAAGCCGGCGCTGCAGATATTTGATTACTCTCCTAAGCTCTAAGACTCCACCGGGGAGACCGAAGAGAGGGCTGTGTGGTCAAACTTGGCTAGTAAATTACAGGTTATGTGCAGAATTTTAGCGGGCTGCAGCTAAGATCATTAATTTCTAGTTGAACAATACGGCTCTGGGCAAAGAACGTTCAGATCTTTAATGCATCAGTCAGTCCCCAGCCATAATTGTGCACTCAAAGGCCCCATAAATCTGCCATTACCTCTCGCAGTGCCTTTGTGAGTTGCAGTAGATGGGGTCTAGCTAAAGAAAGCTGCGTTCAGCTTTTTAGTGTCACCACTGGGTGTTGTCAGGCAGCAGCAGAAAAGACTTCCCCCTCCTAATCCCAACCCACTCAGTACTGTTCATGGGCACCTGTTGCAGCTACGTATACTATCGACAGTCAGGGGGGGAGGGATAGCTCAGTGGTTTAAGCATTGGCCTGCTAAACCCAGGGTTGTGAGTTCAATCCTTGAGGGGGCCACTTAGGGATCTGGGGCAAAATCAGTACTTGGTCCTGCTAGTGAAGGCAGGAAGGCTGGACTCGATGACCTTTCAAGGTCCCTTCCAGTTCTAGGAGATAGGATATCTCCTTCACCACCTGGTGGCATGGATGACAGCTTTCGGTTAGAGCTACACAATCCTCTACTAACCTGATCGGGAAAAGATCTTATTTTTCCTTCTGTTGCACTGAATTATTTTTTTTCCTCACTCCCTTTGCAATGCCAGAGCTGAGGTACCCGGCAGTTTCAGTAATTGTTCTCTATGGAAAGGAGGAATGTTAATGCAACTGCACTGCTGTGTGGTTCATAAGATGGAACTCTATTCTTCACCTTATGCTGCAGGTTGGACCCTATATCAGGACATTTCTGAACACTGTCGTGGTTTGTAGCCGACGTTACAGGGCACAAGTTCTAAAGTGGGTGACGTTAGCTACACAAGAGGTGCCCTGCCTGGAGGATGCTGTCCATTACCAACATAGATCAAACCCCCTTAACCAAATAAAGCCCAAACACGGGGACACACAAAACAATAGGATAAGCACCTTGAAGCAATATGCAAATTAGGGCTCGTCTTCACTGCACAGTTAACCCCAGTGTTTCCCATCCACACACGGAAGCGTTCAACTCAAGAGTTGGGATGCTCTTAACTCAAATTGCCTGGT